ATTTTAAAACAAAATTCTAGCTAGTGACTAAAAAAATGTAAAAGAAAATATTTTGCATTTGCAGGTTTCCACAAAACATCCTGCAGTTCTGCTCAACTATATTTGAAGACGACATACCTAAACAAATTCAATGTTTTAAATGTTAAGTGAATAAAGACAACTGAGCTGCAAACAACATTTAATGTAAAGTCAAATATATGTACTGTTTTTGATTTTTTGTGTGGTTTTTGTATTGATTGTATTTAGTATAATAGTCTCACAAAAACCTGTTCATCTTGTATTGCTTGATAAGATATGAGCTTTTTTGTGCCACTGCCACAATCACTGCCTCACTGTGACAATAAAAATGCAACAAATTTTAATCTAGCACTTTTGTCCAAAAGCAGTACATTAAACATTATTTAAGGAATACAATAAAACTTGGATGTTTTTCATGTATTGTAAAAAAAAAACATTTCATATTTGCTAATAAAAAGTAACAATTTGATCCACTGCAGAATCAAATCCCTTTTTTATTGCTCATTTATCAAAGTCAAACAATTATCCCATACTGAATATATTTTATGTTGTCTATATGCAATGATTTCTCCTTACTATTATACTAATGAAGGTTTTGATTTAGTTTTTTAATAAATGTAACTTGATGACAGTGRGTTCCTGAGACAATTAGGTTATTTGTTTGAGTTTGAATTTGCAGAACTTTCATATTATGATAAACTATAGATATTTTCTGCAGTTTGTGCATAATGTCACAACAATGAACAAGGGTAATCTAATTCCAAAAGCACTCAATAACTCAGTGGATTAATGTAATACATTTTGTTTTTGATTGCTCTCCTTATATWCATCAATATAATCCTGTCACCTGCAGGATGTTTTGCTGGGACAGACAAGCTTTCTTATTTAAGTCAGTATTTGTGAATTTTGAATCTTATCATAAACCACAGCCCTGTGATGGACTTGTGACCTGTCCAGGATGTACCATGACTCTTGAACAGTGACTGCTGGATGTGAACACCACCGACCCCTGCAACCTGCACTGGAAAAAATGGGTAAATATGTTATATGTGTAGTTGGTCCCACAAAGTAATTACCGTCTCCCGACACTAGATGGCAGACAAGCAATTGGTTGAAAACTTTTTAATCTATGCAGATTTTTGAAAGAGCAACATTAATCCAAGCAGTTTCTTCCAGTTTTTAATAGTTTGTGAAGTGGTGATTTGAAAATACTGCATGTCTGAACAAATGAAAGAGGCACCTAAAGGCTGCTGCATTCAAAGATTCATTGTTTGTATAAAACAGTCAGTTACTTTCATGCTTATAACTGTTTTGAAAAWTTATTGATTTTATGCTGCAAAGAGTATCTTTGCACATGTGCCATTAGATTAAGACTACAAGCTGCTTTTTGTTTCTCGCAAGTGCTTGCAGAAAGAACGCACAAACACGTTTACCTTGACTTAATGTGCTRCATTTCATATAGCACCCTGACCTGAGTAAATTTTAACCAGCAGCACTTCAGCTTGAGTTAAATATTTACAGCTGCATCTGTGTCTCACAGCAATTGATAAGAAAAATTACATCCAAGCAAAACATTAAACAAGTCAATGAAAACATCCAGTTCAGGCACTTCAATTTTATTCATTTAAAAGTGAAACATTGTTAAAACTAAAAATATTTCATTCTGACAGTGTGTTACCTGCTGAGCATACTCAGTATTTATAGCTCATTATATAATTTAATCTATTCTAATCTACTTCTTGCTGCTATTATGACATAAACAGGAAGTTAGAAGAAAGACAAATCATTACTTAGTCAATGTGCTTTTTTAATTAGTTCAGTTAACATGACTTCGCTGACAAGGCTCTTTTCTAAAATTTCTAAAATATTCTGTATATTGTAATCTAGTTTGCTTTGTCTCATTTTTACTGAGTATAATTAGTTTTATCAGTCTTTTGATTAAATTCTTAAAAACATCAGAGGAAATCATGTTACTAATGAGACTTCTTTAGGGTTTATATCTTTTTATCAAGGCTGTACATTATTCGTTTTTATTGACACAGGTTATTATCTGTCATGACTTTTTCACAGAACCAGCAGAGACCATAGCAGTTAAAGGGGCAGTAATCATGAAGACAGTAATAACTCACTGTTAAAACAAGCACCAGTTATCAGTCTGTCAACAWGAGCTCTGAGGCCTGAATATTTGCTGAGTAAAATCCAAAGTTTGGTTCCAGTCCATCAACTAAAGTCTGATAAAAGAATTGTTCGTATTTTTTTAATTGAGTCTCTGTTGAGCCATTAGTATCCTACCTGCAGTAGACATTGGTCAGAGTGATACTAGTTTGAAGAATAAGTGAGAAACATTTACAGGGTTAACAGCCATTCAAAACAGTGTCTATTTAAAAGCAAATCTTTGCCATCTGATACGCCTAAAGCCTGATAATTGTGCTGAGCGAGAACACTTAACGTGGAACATGTTGCAACGTCTGTTTGACACAGAACACATTGCAACAAACTGCAGACTGCACTGTGCACAATCAGTTCCGACTGTAAATRACCAGACTTGCACATAAAACTATCKMAATGCAAATGTGACTGGATGCATAAATTAATATTCACTTAACACACTATGAAATATTTAATTTGAGCTGATTTAGACAGCTTTTTATCTAGGATCAGCTTCAGACTGAATAAAATGAGTACTGCTGTCTGCAACAGGTAAAATACTCACAACTGTTCCATAGGRCTCCTCTTTTCAAACCCCATTTATTTCACCAAAATACACTAAATTCCAGGTGAAGCTCGACTGAAGGAGCACAGCTCAGTAAGAAAATTTAAGTTGTGTGCAGCTGTGTAAAAAAGGAGGAACAGAAAGAGCACATAAACGACTCAGGCTGCAAAAAGAATATATGATTATCCCTTTTTGCTTTCAGGGCCTTGTCTTATAAAATTAAAGTCAGTCCTAGAACCTCTGAACAGAGTCTACCCACGTCGAGCTACGCCCTTGTGTTTTTAGTGGTGCCACAGCAACAAAATGTGTTTTATTATTTGTTTGTCACTCAGTGGCTCATCTCATATTAGATTGCTTTTTCATTTCCTCTCAAACACCTTTAGAGCAGCTCCACTCGCGTTTGTTGCCAACCAAGCATGCAGCAGCTCACCTGGGAGTGAACCAGGTGAAAGGGTTTGTGGCCTGAATAGCTCGCCGCCTTTTGTTTCACGAAGAAAATAATTCAAAWATAAATGGACACCAGGTCTTCAGCTGGGAGGTCCCGGGGGACAATAAACRTAGCAGCAGATGAAACTGCATCTTGAGTTAGTTGTTACTTGACCTCCRTTGCGCCATGTGGTTCTCTGGCTCGAAGCCTATACAGCCACATGGACCTGAGTCAAGATTGAAACACTTCGAACATTGTTATAAAAGCATTAAAACCTGTGAGGGCTAAGCCGGTTTTTCTGAGTGCGCTGAAGCAGTCACGCAAGAGGAAACTGCGTTTTAACCAGGAAGTGGAAGACTGTGCACCTGTCGCAGTTCTTTCTCTGGATAAAGGCCAGTGACAATAAGGCACACCATGAGGGCGTGTGGGTGATAAAACAGGCCAAACAGCTGAGTAGAGTTCACTCTTGATTGATTCAAAAAAAAAAAAAAACAGGCTGAAGCAAACTCATAAATAAGTCATTTTATTTTGCTTTCTTTTAAAAGACAATGTACTTTTCAACTTAATAACAAATGGAATTGTTAAATACTGTACAAAGTATACTGAGCTCTCCCAGTGCATGTCTTAACCACAGCAGAGAAGTCATACCTTGATACACTTGTCTTCATTCAGTTTCATTATTTCTAATAAGACATGAATACCTTTTAAGATTAAATAGTGGAAGATGTAAACATTTCAAACGTTTAAGTCAAAAAGAAACATTGTTGTCGGGAGGGTTGGTGAGGAGGCGGAGAGGGAAAGGAAAAGTATACTTCAATGACCGATTGACCTTAGCAGTTATGTTTCCCAAACTGAACACCGAGGTTACTTCAATACATGTGCTACAATTTCTATAACATCCTGATGCTTCGTGAATAATCTACAACAGTAAAACTCATACGTTTCCTCGGCTGCCAGCAGCCAAAGTTTTTCAAACCACACCCACTGCAATCACGTAAGGCAGGAATGCATGTGCAGAACAGGAAAGTCTGTGTCGGGCAGGTAAGCCCTGCACTCTTGCAATGCGTGTGTTTTAACTGGTAAGGCTAACAGCCTTGATCTAAGATCTGCATGGTCTAAAAGCTCTATTTATGGATATCCGGTTCGAAGAAACTTAACCAAAGTGAAGCTGAAATTCGACACCAAGAAGGAACCATACTGGGTGACACATGAAGCTGATTATTTCACTTTTTGTACATTAAAACTCCTAATTTGTTTCACCTTCGAGAACAATTTAATCAGAGAAAATGTAGAATATGGGGTGAACATCAAAATGAGGTAGGAGTCGAGGTGAATTTGTTTCAAGCAATGACTCACAGCTTGACCAAAACTATGTTTCCCCAACGGTTTGGGAGAATTTCACTAAGAATAGCATATATTGACTCACATTAAATAAACCAATTTCTGTGCAACCAAAACAGACCTGGACACAGGCAGAAAAAAAAACTGTGTGTGCACCACAAAGAAGCAGCACACGGTAACAAGTCCTGTCAACAATTCTCTAGTGATTGTAGAAAGTCACTCCTTGTGGCATCACCTCAACACAACTGCTGTTCACGTGCACGAACATACACAAAATACGCTCATCGAGAGACAACTTCACCATATAAGCTGCACTGGATATTCCAWTGGAAACATGCATATAGCTACCAGAAACAATGTGCAATGTGGGGCAAAAAAAAACACAAATATACATCGGCATAGTCAGTTCAATTTAGACTGAAGCCATGTCCAGGAAGGGAAATCATGGTTTTCTTGGTATATAAAAGCAACCAGAGCGGCAAACGTGCTAATATCCTTCATTTTGTTAAAAGTCCACCAGGAGTGGATTTAGACTTCATATATTAAGTGACACATGGTTACATTACTGACCTTTTGTCCCTCGTAAGATACAAAAGCAGCATCAAAGAAAGCCCATGTAAATCACGTAAAAGCATCCCCATCATTCCAGACACAAACACTGAGCACACAGAGTTCAAGGCCTGCTTGGACCATTCAATTGTACCACATTATCAGCAAAAACAATACAGTAATAATGAATGTCATAATAAAATCATATCAAAAATAAGCTTTACAATGTCGAATTCTGCCCACAATCATTAGTCCGATACAGTTTCTACTTACAGTATCTTTGTTGTGATAGCTACTCCAACATTACCAGTAACTGTATACAGTGCACACATACCCTGTGAGTTAAGAATACGTGGGGTATTTAAAAAAAAAAAAAAAAACAACAGAAAAAGAAAAAGCAGCAGTTTGACGGTTGTTAGCGTCTAGTTTCACTATTTTATCAAGTGTTTTTTTTTTTTTTTTTTTTCATCGGTTCATATGCCAATCTGGAATCAAA